AAATACCAAAATAGCCCAATAATTAAAAGTATTCATACGCAGCCCAGTACCACAATAAGATATTGACAAAACAATTGTTTTCATATAAAATTTGGTATCCTTCTCGATGTCGTTTTACAGCCTTGACAGGACTATGGAATTCTCCATAAAATTATCTGGGGGCTTAAAAAATATAAACAAGTTAAGCCAAAAATATTTTACTGAGAAAACAGTTTTTCATATTCTTTTTTAGGTAAATTTGGCGAAAATTTTGTCAACATATTTTTGTGATAAATTTTTTTTAAATTCTCTGAAGTGTTCTGAATCGCATTCAAAAGGAGTTTTTATAAAATATCAAAAAACATAGAAGTTAGAGGGAAAGTTAAGTTAAGGAAATGGCTAGGAAATTTTCTGGCCTCACCGCAGGCCATGGAATTTTCTATAGAAAATTTATGGCTTCTCCCAGGCCATGGATTTTTTTTATAAAAAAAATTCTAGCCTCACCACAGGCTATAGAATTTTTTATTAAAAAAATTCCGGCCTCACCCCAGTCCATGGAATTTTCTATAGAATTTTTTCTGGCCTCCGTCAGGCCATGGAATTTTTTTATAGTAAATTTTCTGGCCTCCGTCAGGCCATGGAATTTTCAATAAAAAACTTTCTGACCTCAATACAGGCCATGGAATTTTCTATAGAAAATTTTCTGGCCTCACCGCAGGCCATGGAATTTTTGGCCTCCGTCAGGCCATGGAATTTTCTATAGAAAATTTTCTGGCCTCCGTCAGGCCATGGAATTTTCTACAGAAAATTTTCTGGCCTCCGTCAGGCCATGGAATTTTCTACAGAAAATTTTCTGGCCTCCGTCAGGCCATGGTATTTTCTATAGAAAATTTTCTGGCCTCCGTCAGGCCATGGAATTTTCTATAGTAAATTTTCTGGCCTCACCACAGGCCATAGAATTTTCTATAGAATGTTTATATAGTAGGACCTTTCCAATTTCATAAAAATGTCCTGTAGAAAATAACATAGCCTTACAAAAAATGTATAATAAAATCTATCCCATTTTGAATGTCGAAAGTTTTAAATAATTTGAAGAATATTTTTAGGACTGTTTCTCGTCTTAAATTTTTGTATTATTCTGCGGAGTGTTCTGAGCCATATTCAAAAAGAAGTTTTGAAAAATATCTTGAAATATAAAAGTTATGGGGGAATTACTAAAATAATCCAGCAATTAAAAATAATCATACGCAAGCCTGTACCACATCTAAATATTAGAGAAAAACGTCCTAATTTCTCTAATTTGAGTGGATTTGATTACCCAATTTACGATTTCTAGATTTCCAATTAACCGATCAATTTCATTTTGGGTACAAAAAATTTTTATTGCCTAAAAATCTGGGCTCCAGAAAATATTTCCTCAAATTCCATAAAAATTTGTGAGCTTCTTAAACAATGCTTTATTAAGTTAGGCAAATATGGCCAATGTTAGTTTTTTAAATTTAATCTATTCATTCTTCTCACTAAACCTTTAAATGAATATTTTAGATATTTATTAAATATTTAAAATTCCTTCAGCCACCCCCTCCAAGTTTTTTAAAAATTTCTTGCTGCTAAACCGAAAGTTATGTTTTAATTTGTTCGTTTTGGCAAACAGCCTCGTCAGAGACAGGCCACTACCAATGAAAATTTAAATATTTCATGAGACTTCTATTTATTACTTCTTCTTGCTCCCCAAAAATCTTGTTCTCAACCCCCCTAAAACATCCCCTAAAATTATAGACTAAAGGTGTCTTACATTATTAGCTTCGTACTTTTATTTAAATAAAATATTGCCGATGCCTACTTTCAGGCTGCTTGCAACTTTTGTGTCAGTGTGAGTGTGTGTGAGAGAGAGAAAATTTCCTTTCGCCTGCCGTTCAATGCCACTCGCATTTTGCACCGCTGAAGGTTATCTCTTCCCTTCAAACTTACCTTGGGCATTGGCTTACTGTTGCTCTTTCAGCCATTCATTCATTCATTTTTATGACCCTTTATAAATATTTCCGTTTATTTTTCGTTTGGCACGGTGAGTGTCGATATTTTTATTCGGATACCTTTTGAATGACCAACATTTATAATATTTTTTTGTTTTTTTTTTCTTTTTGTTGCATTTGGGGAAATTATTTCTTTGTGGATTTCAGTTTCTTTTTTAGGGGAAGGAAATAAGCAAGATTGTGTAGAAATGAAATGTAAAAAAAAATCCGTGGAATTTAAAGATTCTAAAAAATTAATAAAGCAAATTGGTTACAATTAAATAACCTCAAAAATTCCATGGTCTTAAAATGTTAGCAAATCTACGGGAAGTTTCGTGGCCTTAAATATTTTACTCTATTTTTTCATTTCCAAATTAAAATGTTTTATCCTGGATTTATTTACAAATTTTGAGAATATTTTTTTATCAAAAAATTAATAAAGCAAATTGGTTGCAATTAAATAACTCCAAAAATTTCAAGGTCTTTAAATGCTAGCAAATCTACGGAAAGTTTCGTGGTCTTAAATAGGTTACTCAATTTTTCTTATTAAATTTCCAGAGTAAAATAAATTATCCTGGATTTATTTACAAATTTTAAGAATATACAATAGAATAATTTTTCTTTATAAATTTTGGTTTTTTCTCTGAAGGGTTCTACGGGCTTGTGCGGAAAAATTTTGAAAAACGTCCAAGAAATATATGAGTTATGAACAAATTACCAAAATAGTCCAGTAATTAATAATAATCATACGCAACCCAGTACCACAGGCAAATTTTGTCAGTATTTCCATATAATTTTTTAAAGAGTATCAATAATTAATAAAACAAATTGGTTGCAATTAAATAACCTCAAAAATCGTGGTCTTTAAATCTAAGAAAATCTACGGAAAATTCCGTGGTCTTAAATAGGATACTCAATTTTTTTTATTAAATTTCCAAAGTACAATAAATTATCCTGGATTTATTTATAAATTTTAAGAATATTTAATAGAAAAATTTTTCTTTATAAATTTTTGTTTTTCCTCTGAATGGTTCTAAGGGCTTGTGCTGAAAAATTTTAAAAACGTCCAAGAAATATATGAGTTATGAACAAATTACCAAAGTAGTCCAGTAATTAATAACAATCATACATAACCCAGTACCACAGGCAAATTTTGTCAGTATTGCCATATAATTTTTTAAAGAGTATCAATAATTAATAAAGCAAATTGGTTGCAATTAAATAACCTCAAAAATCGTGGTCTTTAAATCTAAGAAAATCTACAGAAAGTTTCATGGGATTAAAAAAGCTTGTTCAAATTTCTAGAAAAATGTCAAAAATAAATTACATTATCCTGGATTTATTTATAAATTCTAAGAATATTCAATAGAATAAATTTTCTTTATAAATTTTGGTTTTTACTCTGAAGGGTTCTATGGGCTTGTGCAGAAAGACTTTGAAAAAAGTCCAAGAAATATATGAGTTATGAACAAAATACCAAAATAATCCAGTAATTAATAGCAATCATACGCAACCCAGTACCACAGGCAAATATTGTCAATATTGCTTTAAAACGACTGAAATTAAAATTGTTGATGAATTTTTATATGAAATAATAATAGAGCCATAAAAAGCATTCAAAATTGGTGCTCTTACAATAAATATAAAAAAAATTCTGAAGAATAATCAATGGTCTTAAAATGTACAAAAAATAAAAAAAAACATCTTTAGAAAGTTTGGTGGAGCAAAAATTCCATATAATTTTGTTCAGGCAAACGGCTGAATTGCCTGGTAAAGCTTTGGAAGCATCTACCGTGAGTGTGATGGTGGACAACTTGCTCTTAGAGCCCAAACAAAATCCAAGATCACTTTTTTTACCTTGAATGTTGTAGCTGGCAGAAACGTTGAAAACGGTTGGAACCCAAATCCAGAGTAATGAAAAAAAAAGCTTTTATATTTCGCTATATTAGAATTCTTTTTATTAGGATGGTACTGGATTTGGACTGTCAGGTTCCAGAGTCGAATTAGAATAGAATTCAATAAGACGCGGAAATTAGACTCCCAATATGGCCATTAGAGAAGGCCGATAAAAAGAAAATATGAAAATGGGAAAAGGAAAAACATAGAATAATTATCTTAACTTCGATAACAGTTCTAATGGATAGTACACTAACAATGGTGCTATTCATATTTAAGATACAGTTTAAGGAAATGAAAATGGTTTACGTTTGACGTAAACATTCCGCCCCCCATGGCAAGGGGACATGACAATTATATAATCAATTCATTTAGGACTAAATTCATATGACTAAATGACTTAATGCATAACTTATTATATCATAATACAATATGTCTTCAAGCGATTTCAATTGGCATATTAGTATTTAAAAAAAAGGTATCGTAAATTCAGAATAAAAGTGGTGGAAGAGAGTACAATTATTTGTATTAATTTGAAAATGTTCCATATAGCACTAATCCGAAAAGGGTATTTTGAGCTGTAGGAAGTCCATGGCGAATAAAGATGCCGTCGACAATAATTTTGGAATATATGTCAACACCAATGACGATATCAACAGAAGCTGCCTTATAGAATTTGCTATCTGCTAGGACGAAGTTTTGAAACTGAGTTTTGAAGACTCGGGCAGCGATTGCTTAGGAGTTGTAATTCCAATCCTGTTCCTCATTCGCAATATAGCCTCTATCTTTGTCTTGGAATCGACGCAGGATGTCAAGGTGACGGGGCACATAACTTCATCTTCCAACTCGAGCGTAGACAACCCCAACTTATCTACGAAGCGTTTGGAAATGCAGCTCATGGGGGCCGCGGAATCCAATAAACACCTTGCCAACTGTGTGCTATTTGCTCCGTTGATTTTGACGACTGCAGTAGGAAGAAGAGGGGTGGCATTCTGCCTAAGAAGTGCCGACAAAGAGGTAATACTGGATGTCGATGTTGACCTCGGTATTGAGCCGGTAGTATCTGAAGAGTCCTTGGGGGTGGTGATGTCAAGAGGGGTAACCATCTTATTGGTATTTTGCGGCACAACCTGCAGGCAAATTCCGAATAACGAGAAGACGAAGGACCCTTCATTGTAATATTGTAAATAAAGAACTGAAAAAAAGGAATGAATTAAAAAAAAGAAGAATGGAATTGAATTGAACTAAAATAGAAAATGGAAAAATTATTTGTCTCAGGCTTTGTATGAGGATAAAGTCTAAGACTGGTTATCTGGTAAGATGACCAGCTTTGTAATTGGCCGGGTGATTCTTCCCTTCTGAGTGAGAATATCAGCAACGCGCACTTTCTGATCATTGCCATGATAGACACGAATCACTCTGCCCAAACGCCAACAGGTCGGAGGGAGATTTTCTTCCTGAATAACCACCAGCATATTTTCTTCGACATCGCGTTCTGGACTTTTCCATTTAGTCCTTTTATGAAGTTCCTTCAGATATTCAGTCTTCCATCTGCTACAAAAATGTTGATACATTGATCGGAGTCGTTGCCAGCGATTTTGAATAGAAATGGATGACTGGGAAATTTCTGGTTCTAAGGGAGATAGTATAGGAGAACCGATTAAAAAGTGTCCAGGAGTCAATGCGGTGAAATCTGATGGGCTTTGAGAAGATGGGGATATTGGTCTAGAGTTTAGACACGCCTCAATTTTAGTCAGTAAGGTTTGAAATTCTTCGTATGTGTATTTTGTATTGCCAGCAACTTTGCGGAAATGTTGTTTGAAACTTTTTACGCCGGCTTCCCAGAGTCCACCCATATGAGGAGCTCCGGGAGGTATGAAATGCCATGTCAAATTTTGGTGGGCGTAATTAGACATTAGAGCTTGATTCGAGGTATCGATAAAATCTTTTGCGATCCTCTTGGAAGCTCCGACAAACGTAGTTCCGTTGTCAGAGTGCAAATGGAGTGGGCAGCCACGACGGGAAACAAAACGGTTAAAAGCTGCCAGAAAATTGGATGTGGATAAGTCGGATGTTGCTTCAAGGTGAATTGCCTTTGTGGAAAAACAGACAAACACACACACATATCCTTTGGTAATCCGACAATATCTTCCAGTATGGCTCTTGATATCAAAAGGTCCTGCAAAATCCAAACCGGTATGTGTGAATGGTCGGGATATTTCACATCTTTCTGGAGGCAATGCAGCCATCAACTGCTTTTGGCATCTTTTCTTATATATGACACAGATCTTGCAATTTCGTATAATGGATTTTATAAGATTTTGAACCTTTGGTATCCAGTATTGTGTACGGACCAATCGGAGGACAAGTTGATTGCCCCCGTGTAGACTTATCAAATGGATATATTGGACTAATAGTTTGGAATATTGACAGTTGTATGGAACAATTATAGGATGTCTCTCGTTGTAGGATAACTCTGGACATACTTCAAGTCGACCGCAAATTCGCATTAGACCTTCGGAATCTAAGAAGGGATTCAAACTCAATAGTTTACTAGAAGAAGGAATCGGTCTTTGGATACTCAGCGCCATGTACTCATTTGGGTAAAATAGCCTTTGGTATATGGATATCAGCTTTGAGCGAACATGGATGATTTCTTGAGCTTCTATGACGTTACCATAACGTCTATTATTGGTCTTATATCGTGGATGAGTACCATTTATAAAACGATATACATACGCCATAATCCTTAGAGCTCTTGGGTAGGAAGAAAAATTCGTTAAGTAATCGTGGAAGTTTTCGAAATATGCAAAATGTGTCTTTACCGACTTCTTCTCTAATTCAGTTGGTTGGACATCTTGATTAGAGTAATTTTCCCAAGGAGTGTCAAATTCAGATAACCATGCAGGACCTCTCCACCAAAGATCATTTTGGATTAGATCCTGTGGATAGACACCTCTACTCGCGAGATCGGCGGGGTTGTCCTCTGAACTGACGTGGTGCCATTTTGGTGGATCGACAGTTTGGATGATTTTAGAAATTCGATTTGCCACAAAAGTATTCCAATGACATGGTTGTTTTGCTAACCATGAAATCACAATGGTGGAGTCCGTCCAGCAATGTAATGAGTGACGGTGAACGTCGAATTGAGGCACTAAATTGTCAATTAGCTCAGCAAGGAGAGTAGCTGCACATAATTCCAGTCTAGGAATAGATAGGGACTTAATCGGTGCTACTTTCGTTTTGGAAGCCACTAAGTGGGTGTACACAGTAGTTGGAGAAACAATTCGAATGTATAGTACTGCGGCATAAGCCCTTTCTGATGCATCCGAAAACCCGTGGAATTCAATTTCATGGTCTGGGACAAAGTTAAACCAACGTGGAACACGAATCTCATTGATGGAAGAAAATGAAGACTGAAATGCTTTCCATAAGTCAATTGATTCTGGTGATATCTCTTCATCCCAACCCACTTTATCTAGCCATATTTTTTGCATAATTATCTTGGCTAATACAATGACCGGCGAAATCCAGCCAGCAGGATCAAATAGTTTTGATATTTGGGAAAGAACCTCTCGTTTGGTATAAGTATGGGGAGAAAATGCAATGGAGGAGAAATAAAACTGATCAGAATACGCATTCCAACGAATGCCTAACATTTTAGCTGCACAATGTGCGTTAAAGTCTAAAAAGCCATCATTAAGAAGATCATCGGGTGACAAGTCCGAGAGAATTGTTGTTGAATTGGAGGTCCATTTTCGCATGTTGAATCCTGCGGACTTCAGAGATAGGATTAATTCACGTACGGTTGAAATTGCTGTGTGTATGTCATGTGCCCCTGCAAGGGCATCATCCACATACATGCAATTCTTCAAAACATGACTAGCTAATGGATATGAATCATGGACGTCATTGGCTAGTTGAATCATCGTACGTATCGCAAGATACGGTGCACAGTTAACACCAAAGGTTACAGTTTTCAACTCGTAATCCTTTATTGGTTCAGTTGGATTCTGGCGGAACAGGATTCTCTGAAAGTGGGTGTGAGAAGGAGACACAAGGATTTGACGATACATTTTCTCTATATCACCACTGAAAACATAGCGATAAAAACGCCACTTAAGGATGAGAATAGTCAAGTCGTTCTGTAAGGCTGGACCAGTATACAAAACGTCATTTAGACTTGTACCATTCGATGTTGCGTAAGAAGCATTGAAAACCACACGGACTTTAGTGGTAGAACTATCTGGCTTCACAACAGCATGATGCGGCAAATAGTAGTGATCGGGAAATTCTGAGATTGTAGGAGGTAGAACAGGAATCATATGTCCTAGTTTGACGTACTCTTCAATATTAAGATCATATTCTCTTTTCAATTCTGGATTTTTTAGCAGACGACTTTCATTCCGAATATATTGGGCCATCGCACCTTTTCTCGACTGACCTAAGGTTAGTGAATCGGAATATTCGTCTTTAAACGGAAGCGAAACAGTATACCTTCCATTCCCATCTCTAGTTGTCGTTCTCTGATAAATTTCTTCACATTGTCTATCTGCTTTGGACATTACACGCTGTTGTGGAATATTCTCCACCTCCCAAAATTTCAGAAGACTTTTTTCTAAAGAAATTTCGCAGAAGTACGATACACATGTAGAGAAGGACTTTGGAGCTTTGGTTGGAATGGGGCCAGTGAGGATCCATCCGAATACGGTCTCCTGGGCGAATAAGGATCCGCAAATCGCTCGCTGGCACCCAGATAACATGACAGAAGGAAGTAAATCTGCGCCAATTAGGATATCAATCTTGGAGCTTCGGTAAAAATACGGGTCAGCTAAGTCTAACTTTGGTAGCGAATAGAGAATATCAGACCCTATTGTGCAGGTTGGAAGGTTATTAGAAAGATGAGGCACAATTAAGGCTGAAACATCGATCTCGAAAGCTTTATCCGCATAGGAGCCCAGGATAAAGCGACATTCTTTTTGAACAGCAGCTGAAACCGTGTTATTAAGGCCTGATATGATAGCGGATGTAGGTTTGGAAGGTAACCTGAGGGCATTGGCAGGTTTTGAGATATAAAGGTACCTTCTGAACCTGAATCTATGAGGGCCCTCGCTATATAACCAACACCTGCATGAATAACTTTTACTACAGCGGTACCAAGCAAAACGCCGTTTGAATTAACCGCGAAACAATTTTGAATAACATCGGTTGAAGAGTTAGTGGACTGTATGGAGGAATTTGGAGAAGCTTGGAATGCAAATGTCCTAGGCGTTTGAAGTGGTGTATTGGAAGCTGAAGGAGAAGTACTAATGGGTATATTTTGTTGCTCAGCATCCTTATGGAGGAGAGTATTATGTCGTTTTTGACATTTGAAGCAAGAATTTTTGCTTTTACAATTTTTGACAGCATGGGAGCTGGAAAAACAATTTAGACAGAGATTGCTGGCCTTTATTTCCGCCAATCTCTGTGCGTAATTAAATGCTAGGAACCGAGGACATTTCCTTATTATGTGGAATTCATTGGAACACAATCGACATTTAGTTTTGTTGACGTTGGTTTGGTATGTCTGATGCCTGTCCTTCTGATTCTTTGTATTTAAAGGTTTGGACTTATCCTCTTTGGACTTGGAATCAGAAGAACTTCTCATTTCAGAGACAGCCTCCAATGTTCTATACCGGTTGGTAAGAAATATATCCAATTCAGACCATTTTGGAATGCTGGTTTTATCCGAGAGTGTTTGTTCCCATAAAGTTAAAGTAGAATCTGGAAGACAGTTGGAACAAATGAACACGAAAATCGGATTCCAGCTTTCAACGTCAACATCATAAAGCTTTAGAGTGGATATACAAGAATTGATATCTCTTTGAAGCTTCTTGATGGATATTGCAGTTTCTGTATGAATATTGACAAGTGAAAATAAATTCTTTAGTTGGCCATTAACCAGCACTCGTTTGTTCTCAAACCTGGAACATAGATTGTTCCACGCTAAGGTGAATCCGGAATTCGTCAAAGGACTTTTCCTAACAATGTCGTGTGCTTCACCTTTGGTCTTCTGACTTAGGTAGAACAATTTTTCTACTGGGCTTAATTTGGAATTGCGTATGCAAATGGCCGTAAACATGTCACGAAAGCTTGGCCAGGATTTGTAGTCTCCATGAAATGTGGATAACTCAATTGGAGGCAAGTTAAAAGCGTTACTGGACCGTAAACTTGGACTAGAAGAGGAAGGAGAGAGAGGTTCCAGAGCTTCATTGAGCTTTGAGATACAACGACAGTAAGTTGAGTAGGATTTCTTATATTTATCCTTCACTGTCGCTACCTCATTGGTTTCTCTATCATCGGACACCTCTTCATCTTCTTCTTCATTTTCCAAATCCGCCAGACATTGCTCATAAGCTTGTTTAAGATGTGACCATGTGGATTTCACCTCTTCAGTGTGGGTTTCCAGCAAACACCGAGTTGTTAGAGGAAACTCATTGGCAATAAGTGCCGCTTCAAATTCTACCAAGCTGTCAGCTAGGCGAATGAATTTGTCGAGTGACATGACTACAAGCAAGAAGTTTGATGGATCAAAGACAATAGAATGAGTGGATAAAAATTATGCAAGACAAGTGGTTATATCGGAGTAGGGCAACTAGGACTGGTGAAAGAAACAACAAACTGAGTTCACCGTGTGTTCCAAATTTGAAAATGATGAAAAAATAGCATAAAATGTCCTGGTAGAAAGTACGGGTACCAATTGAATGCTATTTTAGGAAAACCTAACTTGAAACGAACAGGAGATTGTATTATCATTAATTTCAAATTCCACTGGTGGAATATTTTAGTAATTTTATTGTATTTATTTTATTTTAATTAATTAATTATTTCCTTTGATTTTTATTGAACGTATTTAATTATTATTATTATTTTAATTTAATTAAAAGTATTTTTTTTTTTATTTTAGTTTCAGAAAAATAATATTTTTCTCTAGTAATTTCAATTAATGATTCTCTTGAATTTAAATTTCAATTAAATAATGTACTTGATTCTTACCAATTATAAACTTTTTCCTCAAATATCAATTAATTAATTTTTTTTTTTAATATTGATCAATTTGCTTCTTTAATTTGAACTAATGTGTTGAATTACTCTTAATTAACTCTTGTTTCTTTTTTCTTAACTTCAATTAATTAATTCTCATTAATGACATTTAATTGGTTGAATTTTCAAGTAATAGTGAAAAGCGCGACAAGTATCTATATTTTTTGTTTAATATTTTTTTTTTTTGATTGTAGAAAAGTTATATTTGGTACCACTGTGCGTTGGTATCCAGATATTATTATTTGTATCTAAATGCTTCTAAATGTGCTTCAGAGACATCACAAGCAAAAACACGACTTTGCTAAAGTAGAAAAACAGCTGATCGTTCAAGAGTTCATTGAACTCAATGTAAGTGGAAAGAATTTGGAAGAATTGGAATAAATGGAATAATTTGGAATGATATGCTCCGCTCTGAGCAATCAATCCTCCGTTGGTATGTGTCGGACTCTCAAACAGCGAGAATGACACGTAAAAATAAATAGAGAAAAGAACACAAATGTAACAACTGATTGAGCGGAGAACTCAAACTCTGCAATAGTAGTTACACGGCAATGATACAACAACACGATTGAGTTGTAATCTCACCCACAATTGACTAGCGCATTCTCATTGGACATGCGCACTCAAAGCAGAGAATGTAAACATTGGTTGCAATAGGATGTATGTGGCTGAGGAAGAGAACGATGAGTTGAGCTTTAGTTTCAGCATGCACGAGAGAAGCGCATTCTCAGTGGACATGCGCATTCGAATAATAGAAAAGAAGAGAATGATGCTGGAACTGACTTAAGAGAAGTGTGCAAGCTCTGATCACCACATACATACACAAGAGTAGCATATGCTCATTCGGACCAATGAAGACGAAGAAAGGTAAGCTGAAAATAACTTAAGAGAACATGGCAAGCTTGGATCTCAACATCCATAAATAAGAGCATGTACTCAGTGGACATGCGCGCTGGGAATAAACATGAAGCTGAAAAAGAGAATGGAATGGACAATGCAAGACGAGTGAACAACAATATGGAAGAGATCATGCATGGAGGTTGCTCACTCCCATGTGTATTATGAGTGCCTGGATGATCATTGAGAAAGCACTTCTAATGTATTTTCAGGGTAAACCTGAAATGCATCTGGTACAACAGAGAGATGTTCCCATAAATAAATAGTGAACAGTGAGGCTGTCGCAGATAAATGTTATGACTCTGTTATTAACAGAGTTCTACAGAACACGTTTTTTAATTTAACAGCCTCGGATCTGTTACACTAAGGAGCAAATGTACCACTTATGTTCACACATATTTTAAACGAATTTTGCCCCTTTTTTTATTATTTTTTTTCCAACAAAATGTTTCCTTTTTACCGAAATTTTTAAGAACTTCCCACAGAGATTTTTTTGTAGTCTCACTCAGGGCTATTTTTCAACACACAGGATATCAATATTTTTTTTTGTAAAAAACTTACTCACAATCCTCTTGTTGTATTAAGGCAGTCTCCTCTTAGTAAATCCTCTTAGTCTTCCTCTTAGTAAATCCACAATTCCTAGGTTGTCGATCTTCTCAGCTTAGTTATTTGGGGAATTAGCCAGGAATTTCCAGATATATAATTATTTTGAAGTTTATATTTTGGGGTGAAACACGACACGGCACTTTATATCAAATTGAGTGAATCTTTCGACTTCTTGTTGTGTACTGAAACGACGAAATTATTACAAGAGAAACGTACCTATGGAAATCAAAGGCTTCTGCAGCTGAATTCTCTGGAGAGCAGCTTGTCGATCCGGCTCGAAGGACCAAAATGTTCAGGCAAACGGCTGAATTGCCTGGTAAAGCTTTGGAAGCATCTACCGTGAGTGTGATGGTGGACAACTTGCTCTTAGAGCCCAAACAAAATCCAAGATCACTTTTTTTACCTTGAATGTTGTAGCTGGCAGAAACGTTGAAAACGGTTGGAACCCAAATCCAGAGTAATGAAAAAAAAGCTTTTATATTTCGCTATATTAGAATTCTTTTTATTAGGATGGTACTGGATTTGGACTGTCAGGTTCCAGAGTCGAATTAGAATAGAATTCAATAAGACGCGGAAATTAGACTCCCAATATGGCCATTAGAGAAGGCCGATAAAAAGAAAATATGAAAATGGGAAAAGGAAAAACATAGAATAATTATCTTAACTTCGATAACAGTTCTAATGGATAGTACAATAACAATGGTGCTATTCATATTTAAGATACAGTTTAAGGAAATGAAAATGGTTTACGTTTTGACGTAAACAAATTTTTTTATACAAAATTGAAAGCCTAACCCTATAATTCCGGGAAATCTATTTTATTATTGGATTAGTTGTATATTTGGCAAATGTTCTAAAAGATTATAAAAAATTATATTTTTTCTTCGGGGAGTTCTAAGGGTTTATGCAAAAGAACCTTGAACATTTTCTCAGTACCACAGCCTAATATTAACTATATTGCTTCAAAATAACTTTTCTAAAAGATTCTAAAAATTATTTACCTATAAAATTTTATGTTTTTTCTTCGGAGGGCCCTGAAGGTTAATGCAAAATAATTTTGAAAAAATTCTAAGAAATGTATGAGTTATGAACAAATTACCAAAATAATCCAGTAATTAATAACAATCATACGCAACTCAAAAGAAAATTGGGCGTAATTCAAAAACCTCATAAATTCCATGGCTTAAACGGAAAGTTTCGTGGTTATAAATAGGTTAGTCGTTTTTTTAATCTCCAAAGTAAAATTTTTTTATCCTGGATTTATTTACAAATTTTGAGAATATTTTTTTATCAAAAAATTAATAAAGCAAATTGGTTGCAATTAAATAACTTCAAAAATTCTATGGTCTTAAACTGTTAGAAAAATCTACGGAATGTTTCGTGGCCTTAAATAGGTTACTCAATTTTTTTAATTAAATTTCCAGAGTAAAATACATTATTCTGGATTTATTAACAAATTTTAAGAATATTCAATAGAATATTTTTTTCTTTATAAATTTTGGTTTTTTCTCTGAAGGGTTCTAAGGGCTTGTGCGCAAAAACTTTGAAGAAATTCCAAGAAATATTTGTGTTATAAACAAATTACCAAAATAGTCCAGTAATTAATAACAATCATACGCAACCCAGTACCACAGGCAAATTTTGTCATTATTGCCATATAATTTTTTTAAAGAGTCTCAATAATTAATAAAGCAAATTGGTTGCAATTAAATAACCTCAAAAATCGTGGTCTTTAAATCTAAGAAAATCTACAGAAAGTTTCAAGGCATTAAAAAAGCTTATTCAAATTTCTAGAAAAATGTCAAAAGTAAAATACATTTTCCTGAATTTATTTACAAATTTTAAGATTATTCAATAGAATAATTTTTTCTTTAGAAATTTTGGGTTTTTCTCTGAAGGGTTCTACGGGCTTGTACGGAAAAATTTTGAAAAAAACGTCCAAGAAATATATGAGTTATGAACAAATTACTAAAGTAGTCCAGTAATTAATAACAATCATACGCAACCAAGTACCACAGACAAATTTTGTCAGTATTGAGATATAATTTTTTAAAGAATCTCAAAATTTAATAAAGCACATTGGTTGCAATTAAATAACCTCAAAATCGTTGTCTTTAAATCTTAGAAAATCTACAGAAAGTTTTATGGCATTAAAAAAGTTTATTAAAATTTCTAGAAAAATGTCAAAAGTAAATTACATTATCCTGGATTTATTTACAAATTTTAAGAATGTTCAATAGAATAATTTTTCTTTTAAATTTTGGTTTTTTCTCTGAAGAGTTCTACGGGCTTGTGGGGAAAAGTTTTGAAAAAATTCCAAGAAATATTTATGTTATGAACAAATTGCCAAAATAATCCAGAAATTAATAGCAATCATACGCAACCCAGTACCCCAGGCACTGGGAAAACGTCTGAAATTAAAATTGTTGATAAATTTTTATTTGAAATAGTAATTGAGCTATAAAAAGCATTCAAAATCGATGATCTTACAATAAATATAAATTCTGTACAATATTCAATGGTACTAAAATGTACAAAAAAAAATTTTATAATTTTTATAATTTATGAAAATTGAACGTCTAACCCAATAATTCCGAGAAATCTATTTTATTATTGGATTGTTTGTATATTTAGCAAATATTCTAAAAGCTTATAAAAATTTATATTTTTTCCTCGGGCAGTTCTAAGGGTTTATGCAAAGGTAATTTTTGAAAAAAATTCTCAGTACCACAGCAAAATATTAACAAATATTGCTTCAAAAGAACTTTTCAAAAGGATTCTAAAAAATTATTTTCCTATAAAATTTTATGTTTTTTCTTCGGAGGGTCCTGAAGGTTCATGCAAAAGATTTTTAAAAAAAATCTAAAAAATAAATGAGTTATGAAGAAATTAACAACATAGTCTAGTAGATAATAAGAATCGTACGCAACCCAGTACCACAGGCAAATATTAAAAATATTGCTCCAAAATAACTTTTTTAACAGACTATTTTCCTATAAAATTTTATGTTTTTTCTTCGGAGGGTCCTGAAAGTTAGTGCAAAAGAATTTTGTAAAAAAACCTAAGAAATATATGAGTTATGAATATATTACCAATATAATCCAGTAGATAATAACAATCATACGCAACCCAGTACCGCAGGCAAATACTAACAAATATTGCTTTAAAATAATTTTTATTTAAAAAAAATGTCGGAAATAGCATCAAATTTTAGAATAAGTTTAGATTTGTTCGAATTGATAACCTTTGGCACAAATTATGACCTTAAAACGGCCAATGAAACCGTCACACGCTGCCCGAATGTTGCTCTGAGGTATTTTGGCCCATTCCCAGCGAAGAGCTTGCTTGAAGTGATCGATACTTTGGTATTTTTTAAATCCAACCTTGCTTTCCAAAATACTCCAGACACAATAGTCCAACGGATTGGTATCGGGAGATTGTGGTGGTCATTGTGCTCTGGAAATGAAGCGAGGAACCCTATTTTGTAATCATTCTTGGGTGGCACGTGCTAAGTGCGATGGTCCTGAGTCCTATTGAAATGTCCAACGTTTGCAGGGTTTGTCCAACCCTGCAGAATTTTTTTCGCGCCAATATTCGGCATTTATTCTGATGCCACGGTCGTTTAATACGCGGAGCGGAGAGCGACCATCAGCTGTTATGGCGGCCCAAACCATCACCAAGGCAGGCGCTAGAACTCTGGTGGCTAACCGAATATATTCGGCATTTATTCTGATGCCACGGTCGATTAATACGAGCGGAGAGCCCTCCAGCCTCCAGAATATTTTCGCGATAATATTCGGCATTTATTCTGATGCCACGGTCGTTTAATACACGGAGCAGAGAGCGACCATTGGCTGTTATGGCGGCCCATACCATCACCATGGCCGGTACTTGAGTTCTGGTGGCCAACCGAAGGTGCACATTTTCAGCTGACCTCTTTGGACAAAAAATGTTTTCTCACCGGAGAAAACCTAATTCGGCAGTTCACCACTTTCGGCCCAGCGAAGCAACTCTTTAGCTCTTTAAAGGCTATTTTCTTTCTGTTGCGGTGTAAGTTCTTGCACTTTTTGGAATTTCAATGGATTTACCCCGAGCTCATTTTTCAATATTTTCGAATAGAATATTGCGATATATTTAGCACACGAGCCATTTTTCGGCCACTGCAAGGCGGGTTTTCTGTTAAGTCGCTTCTTTACTTTTCGAACTGCTGCATTTCTGCTGATGTTGCTGTTATCTTCCGTCCACTTCCTTGACTTCGTCGGACTACGCTACCAGTATCGTGGTAACGAGCGATGTTACGAGACACAAACGATTTATTCGCATTTAAATGCTAGAGTGCTCTAACGATAGCCACTTTTGATGTTCCAGCCAAATATAAAGAAATCACACTATCACGCTTGAATTCCGAACACGAATAACTATTTTTCTGAAAAAGTCTCCCCGAAATGCTTTTGTGCGCTTGTCAACAATATAATGAGCTGTCACTGGAACAATTTTAACAGCTGTCGGATCAGTGGCTTAGTAATGGCAGCAGTCTGAATTTGGTTGCAATTTTTTCATCTCACCCCACATATTTTATTGATGGATGGGTTTTGGATTACAATTATATTTTCCATTAAAGAAATTGTTCTTATAGAAATGTTGTACTTTTCCTTGATGTGTTTACTTCCAAATTCAAAAAGAAATTTCCAAAAATATACATAATTAAATTTTCTAGGGACTATTTACCAAGATGACCTATTAATTATTAATAATCATACGCAACCTGGTCCAGAATTTAAATATTGCCGCTATCACTTAATATTGCATGGAAATGGATGTAGTAAAAGAATCCAAGAAATGTGAATGCTATTTAAAAGTCCTCCTCTCGCTCCTTTCTCCAAGATTCTCCAAGATCCAAAAAAAAGAGAACTTTCCATTTGAATTTTTTATGAATATCTGAGCATAGTTTCTTCCTTCTTCGGTATATTTTAAATATTTAACAAAAGTAGTTTTAAGTCAAGCCAAGCATTTTTGCTAAGAAAACGAATACTCTTTTTGTTCATTTATCATGTTTTATGAACTCAACGAAAAACGGAAATTACTTCTTGTGTTTCCACTTAGTTTCTTTTACGAGAATTTTGCGAAGGCAAAAAGTGGATGATTTGTTAAGTAGTTTTTCAATTGTCAGCGTAAATTATTGTTAAAAATGTCTTGGCTGTGCTGTTTTTGTTGTTGGAGGTCGTTTACTCGGAAACGCTGGGCAAGGTAAAGCAATTTTAGAAAATCTTGCAAACATACGGCGTGGGATAATGATATCCTTGAAGTGCTCTCTAGTTTTATTAAGGAGAAAATATTTTGGAGAGGATAGTTTTTCAAAATTGTTGTTTGGATGATTGTTGGGATTATTAGAAGTTGGTTCATTAAAACTACAAATATTTCCATGGTGATAAAACTTTTTATATTGTATCCAACTTAAAATGAGTCAGTCGTTAGCCGCCTCCACAAAAATTATGTGACCCTAGTGTTTAGCATTTGTCACAACATTTTGTTGACAAAAAGTCATTGCTCATTTCGAATTTCTTGGTAGCAAGCAACCACGATTCCTATTCGACATGCATGACATTAATGCGAAGTATATTCCCCGGAGAATGGCCATTAATACTGAAACTGTCATTAATATGGCAAATAAAGGCACTTAAAGCCAT